CACACTGCCCAGGTCGCAAGATTGAGCGGGTTGGATTTGACGGGGGATTAGAACCCAGCCACGCGCTCATAGACATGATTTTCCAGATGCTTGATGATAACCAGCTGAGGTATGTAAGATGGGAGCAGTGCACCAAGCGTGACCAAGAGCTGATGGGGATCAAAAATGATCCCACATGGAAGCCAGATAGCCAGGGCATTATCCGTGAAGTGAAAGTCAAAGAAGAAGTAAAAGCCGATACTAGCACGGACCTGAGGCTGAAATACGCCTTGCAAAGGCGCAGCTTAGCTTTTGACCAAGCTAGAATCTGTGACTACAGCAAAATGGAAAGGTGGACGAAGATCTTGCTGGAGGCATATGCAGCAGCACCAATTGAACGCTTCAAGAAGGTTTCCATCGAACAAGTACAACTAGCCGACATGGAGCTCTTCAAATTCCTGATCCGTGAGACCAGGTCAGGGATCAAGCCGGCTGGGGCTATTGTGCCAGTGGAGGCGGCGTTGGAGAGAGCGTTGCTGGCTCCGGAAATCAGACTCCATCTTCAGCCCTTGCAAACAAGCAGCGGCTCCAAGAGGAGAGCGGATTCTGAGGAAGAACCGGTACATGACAAGAAGAGCAAGGCAAAGCAGTCTGAACAGGACCGAATGAAGCGCACGATCGAAAACTTGCAGGGCCAGATTCGAAATTTGCAGAAGGGTTCGTCCAAGAAAGGCAAAGGTAAAGGAGGCCGTGTTCAAAACACCAGATCGGAAGTGCGCATGCCGGGGGAGCTCATCGGCCAGAAAGCCATGACCAGCGGCGGAGAACCATTGTGCTTCTCTTACAATTTGAGTGGATGCAAGGCCGCCAAGGCCGGTGAGCGTTGCTCCAAAGGCTGGCATCTCTGTACTCGGTGCGAGCAGGCGCATTCTCAGCGCGAGCATGAGAAGCAGTGACATCCGCATCGCCAAGAAGTTTCACATAGCATCTTCGATGGTGCGCCTTTGAATTCACTTTTGGTCGTGGAGTTATGCGCAAGAAGCGCAAAACTGTCATATTGCCTATCTTCCCAAGGATTTCAGGCAATGGCGTTTGACCAAGCAAGCACTCGGCATAAGCAATGCCACCCTACAATTGCGCTGGACCTTGCGAATGACAAAGCAGTGCACTACTTAGCTACGCTTTTGAGACAGCCAGGTCAGGCATTCTATGTTCATGCAACTCCACCGCGCGGCACCACTCACAAACGTGAGCAAAGACTGAGGCATTCCTTGCGTCAGGAGGGCTTCAAGAAGATCCGAAAGCTCCGTTCAGCGCAATATCCGAACGGTTTGCCAACCCTGCAACACAGTGATTTGGCCAGAGTTGCAGCGGCCAATCGCATTTTCGCAAACATTGCAGCCGTACTGGAAATTGCAGCTGGAGCAGGCGCTTTCATTTCCCTGGGAGATTCTAAGCACAGTTACTTCTGGGATACACAGTGTGTTCAGCACTTGAGTGAGGCCATCCCTTTGGGTCAGTTTTCAAAACTGCATGCATGGTGGCCGCCAAGATCGGTGGATGACTTTCAAGACCAACGCACACTGGCTGCGCCCTTTAGCTGCAGTGTGTGATGGGCAACACCGGCATTTGCCTTACAAAACAGGTCACAACGGAGACTACCCTCCGATGTTGTGCGCCCGCATTGCTGCAGCTGCTCGTGTAGCTGCGCTCCAGCTGGGCGCGCAAGCAATTACTGCAACTGTGGCCAAAAAGCGTAGGGTAGAGCCATGGAGCATGGCTGCAGCTGGTAGGCAACCTCGAGGAAACCGAGTCCCAGAGCTTATTTCAGAATTTTTGGAAGTGCTTGAAGTGCCCTGGACCCTGCCGTGGTCCACTTCTGATGCTTGCCCGCGGCTCCTGACAGCACATGAGCGCAGTCATTTTGGTTTGCGGCAAGAGGCCAAGCTGTTGTCTTGTGTGGAAGTGGGGAACCAGGCTGACAACAGCAAAGCTTGGGCTGCAAAGATCGGTGTTTACCGGTCACCCAGCCAGTTCCTCGAACAAGCGGTCAGCCAGAAGCACCCCTTCGATGAGAGCTTCATGGTGGATGATGACGTGAAGCGAAATATTTTCCTTTTGTTGTCAGAAGGGGTAGATGAGACGAATAGGAAAAGGCAAGAAGCGCTGGATTATTTCGCTGCAAGGAAGGCCCAGCTTTCCTTTCAAGAGGCAGAAATTCACGCTCATTTGGACGAGGCTTCCGCAAAAATAGTAGAGGACAAGTCTTTTCTGCTATTTCAGGAGATGTGCCAAGCCGCCGGCATCGTAGACGATGACCTGGCGACCATGCAAATAGTGGGTTCTGCACTTCATGGCAAATCCTGTTCGTGCAGTTTGTTTCAGGCCGAGGAGAATGAACCAGCAATGACTACGGAACAGCTCATGAAGTCGTCAAAATGGAGCAGGCCCATGCTTCTAAGTCGTAGCAATAGCTCAGTTGATGCTGCCACAGTGGAAGCAGTGTGGCGGGTGACCTTGGATGAAGTCTCTCGAGGATGGCTAGAAGGTCCGCTCACCGAAGCAGAAGTTCAAGCAAAATTCGGCACCTTGTTCGTGGCTTCTCCTCGTTTCGGGCTCCACCAATCAGACAAAGTGAGGCCAATTGATGACATGTCTGTTAGCCTAGTGAATTGCTCTTTTGCTGCGCAATATAGGTTGGAAATGGATGGTGTGGATAGCATTTCAGTCCTGGCCCGAACTTTTCTGGAAGCAGTGAAGGACACTGGAACGGTAGAAGTCCCTCTCTCTACCGGCTGTGTGCTGAAGGCGCCGCTGCACCGGTCTCTGACAGTGCCGGAGGCTAGGCGTCTGATGGGGCGTACGCTCGATCTGGACAGCGCCTACAAGCAGCTATTGGTCAAGCGTTCTTCGCTTTGGTGCAGCGTCCTTCTGGTTCCGGACGCGCAAGGGGCTAAGCATTACTTCGTGTCGCGAGTCATGCCTTTCGGCGCGGCGTCCGCAGTGTATGCCTTTAACAAGATATCCCGCTCCATTTTCAAGGTGGGATCCAAGCTCTTTGGGCTGATTTGGAGCAATTACTACGATGACTATCCACAGCTGGATTTGCAGAGCGCAGGGCGCAGTTCGCAAAATGTGGCAGAGACTTTCCTGGAGCTGATCGGTTGGCGTTATTCCACCAAGCCAGCTAAACGGCTTCCAATGGCGCGAACCTTTCAGGCCTTGGGTGTAGAATACAGCTTTGAGGAAAGCCTGCAGGGAACGATTGTGGTCCGGAACAAGCCGTCCCGGGTTGAACGGATAGTAGCAGACATAGACTTGCTACTTTCGAAAGGCTCATTCACGAGTGCTGAAGCAAGTTCTTTGAGGGGCCGGCTGCAGTTCGCGGAGTCTCAAACTTTTGGCAGAGTGCTCGCGCTGCGCATGAAGATGTGCAACTTGCGTGCGGCCGGCTCTCTTCCTGGAAATTTCATCAATGAGGCTATCCGGGCCGAGTTGGAATGGGCAAGGTCGTTTGTGTCTAGCTCGCCGCCAAGATTGCTGCAAGCAGGGGTTGCAAAGCAGACGTTCCTTATTTTCACAGATGCTGCTCTCGAGGGCAATGACCGAGATGGTAGCGTGGGAATGGTAGCGTATCGTCTGCAGAACCAAGAAATTGTCGAGAAGTGGTTTTTCTCGGAGCAAGTGCCTAAGGACACAATGCGGTTGCTCCAGCACAGAACTCCGAAAATTATAGCAACGCTGGAACTTCTGGCTTCTTTTCTGGCAATAGAACTGTTGAAGGAGGAGATCTCACAGAGGAGGTGTTTTGTCTTCATTGACAATGAGGCTGCGCGTGCCAGCCTGATTTCCATGTATAGCCCAGTTGTGACCCACGCCAAGATCTTGCACAGGTTATCCGATTTGACTCTGGAGTGTAGCATGTTCCTTTGGATTTGTAGGGCGCCGTCACCGAGCAATCCTGCCGACAAACCTTCGAGGCTGGAAATTGAACATCTTGTACAGAATGGTTTCACTCGTCTAATCCCTTCCTGGAGAGATGTAAGTTAAAGCATTGCTATGTACTCAAGTGGGGTG